AAACCACGACCTGTCGTACCACCAAACTATCGGCGAATCATCTTCGATTCAATCCACGGTCTATCACTACCAGGCATCCGCGCAACTCACAAGCTTATTTCTGATCGTTTTGTGTGGCCAGCACTAAACAAAGACGTGCAGATCATGGTGAGAAACTGCCTCCCATGTCAACGTTCAAAAGTGCAACGGCATACTCAGGAACTACTTGGCAACTTCACCGTTCCCGATGCTCGTTTCAGTCACGTGCACATAGACACCGTTGGTCCACTGCCGCCGTCGAGTGGACACAAGTACCTATTGACTTGCATCGATCGCTTCACTCGTTGGCCCGTGGCAGTACCCATCGCAGACATTTCTGCAGAGACGGTAGCACATAACTTTGTGGCTCATTGGATCGCGCATTATGGTGTACCATCCACCATAACAACTGAGCGCGGTGCGCAATTCGAGTCGACGCTTTTTCGAGAATTAACCAATACTCTCGGAACCAAGCGTAGAAGAACAACTGCGTACCACCCATCATCGAACGGGTTAGTCGAACGTTTCCACCGTCATCTCAAAACAGCTTTGATGGCATGTTCCGACACTACCCGTTGGACAGAAACCTTACCGCTGGTTTTCTTAGGTCTTCGAACGACACCTAAAGCTGATTTAGGTTGCTCCACCGCGGAGCTGGTATACGGTACCACGTTAAAGCTCCCGGCTGATCTCGTTCAACCGACCGACATCGACGCTATAGATCCTTCAAACTTTGTCCATCGGCTACGTTCATCTATGCGTGAACTGCACTTTATCCCCACACGCGCACACGCCAATAAGTGTTACATACCGAAAGATCTCGAAACTTGTTCATACGTGTGGGTACGAAATGATGCAGTCCGCAAGCCATTACAACCACCGTACGATGGACCATTCGAAGTGATCGCTAGAACCGAAAAACATCATATGATCAACAAGAATGGTAAAGTCGATGCGGTTTCCGTAGATCGTCTTAAACCAGCGTACATCGAAAAACCTTGTAAACAACAATCTACTGATTCTTACTCGACAACGTGTACGCAGCAGACACCACAGCTCGTTGTAGATGACCCGCAGCTTGTAACATCTAAAGCTAAGCCACAAGGAGACATTAACACGCGGCAGACACGGTCAGGAAGGCGAGTCCATTTTCCAGACCGCTTAGTGTATCACACATCTTGACAATATCATCTTGTTCTGCTGATCACTTGCTAGTATCGCTTGCTGCCAGTCTCCTCCTGTTTGTTTTTCTCCAGATTCCGCCAGAATGCAACTGAACATCTCGCACGAGGAAGAAGCGGATTTTCCAGTCTAGATAAATCTAACATCCGTGCATTTACCATCCTGCACTGCTCCCAAATCTTTCATTGTACCTTACACACAGAATATTAGCCTGCATGCCTCCCATACCTCAGCCTCGGGTATTTCATGCGACAATGTACCAGGTAGAGGTCAGTTTTTACCGGCTATTCCCACCGGGTATTTTACTCCTGGTCGCTTGAACATCGTGCGACTAGCGCACTGGTGGGGAGGTATGTAGTGTTTCTTTCACCTTTCATGACATAACCTATCGGTCAGCTGATAATATTGCCAGCTGTATCGACTATTCTTTCAAACGCTTCAAACATCGATCAATTTTCCTTTTGAATAGCCGGCTGACTCTAGACTGCCTCGTGTATAACATCTGGGAGCTCCAAATATACATTTATGGGAATACACGTATTCAATCCCTTTTGGCATCCGAGAATGACGGGTTATTAAACCAGGAACTCCGCAACCAAAAGGCGTTACCAAAATCCAACAAGTGGGAACCCCGACAAGTTTATAACCCGCAAACCTGTTGTCTCCCATGGCTAGGTTTTACGGGAAGTGGGCCATCGACCACTTCCTAACCTCCGAAGATGATAGACTAGGATACTGGCTGGGCGCCCAATCCTGACAGAAGAACGACTCGGGTCCTCAGCCAAAGCCTTCGATTAAATGAACACTCGAAACGCAGCTGGTCTAGCACATGGTCAGTTAGCTGACTCCTGCGGATTGGTGTCCTGGATCTTAGCAGGGAGAAGGGCGAAACCCAAATAAGAACCAGCGGTCGCCACGAGGAGGCGCCCAAGACATGAGCAAATGGCACAACAGTAGCAGAAGTGGGTAGACCATCTGTCAGGATCTAGCCACCACCAGCCTCAGCGCAAAATGGGCTCTCCCGCCTACTGTTTACTAGGATCGTCACAATCATCATCATCATAATCATCATCAACAACAACAACGACAGCAGTAAATCAGCCATTTGAACTGATGCTTCGCTGCCATACAAAAATGAGGAGCTATGAAATAAAGAATAAGAAGAGGGGGAGAAGGGGGACTTACCTGAAAACCTTAATGCCCTAAGCAAACATTCAGGGTCAAGGCGCCTACACCTTGTGTAGACAACATACCCTCAAAAACAGCTGGCTATCGTGCAAAGATAAGGTGGCATCGGCGAGACAGCTTCCTTGCGGCTTTCACTGCCACGCGTCATAATCAGCCATTTCCCCGCAGATAACTCGGCATCAAACACACTTTAAACAGACAATCCGATTAGGAGACGGCAGCAGACGCGCCACTGGTGCCTACTGCGAGCCATGTCCTGTAAAGTCTCAAGCCATGCACAAGGCGAGTCACGTGGACTCCAACCCGGAAGGCGAGACGGACCAACGGCACCCAGTTTGGTCGTCAGTGACTTCATTTCCCGCTGCCAAGTCAACTTCTGTCCACCTCGAGCCTTGCGCCAACCTACATCTGGCAGACTAAACAAGGCCCACCTAAATAAGCGGTGACCAGATGTACGTAGCACGTGCCCGAGCCAACGTAACTTATTCAGTGCTATCTGTTGCCTAAGGGAGCTAGCATGATTACCACCACCTAGTACTCGCCTACGCACATCATCGCTGCGGACACGCTGGTGCCATCCGACACCAGCAATGCTTCGCAAACAACGATGATTAAAGACTTGAAGGCGCCTCAGATCTTCAGACCGAAGGGACCAAGTCTCACTACCATAGAGCAGAACGACCCTCACTGTGGCCTTGTACACACGGCCTTTCAGACGAAGGGAAACTCCCTTCTGTCTCCAAAGATGACGCAGGTTCAAGTAGGTAGCTCTGGCTTTTACAATGCGTGAGTTGACGTCAGTTTCTATGCGCCCATCATTGCTGATGCAGCTGCCAAGATAAGTGAATTGATCAACCACCTCGAGTTCCTCGTTAGCAAGCGTCAAGGGGTCATCAAGTGGCTGGTGGTCCTGCAGCAACACTTTGAAGGTGCGAAGTGCATACCAAATAATGGGACCATTCTAGACACGCTATTCAGGGTTAATAGTATCACCCCAACATCGTCGAAAAGCAAAGCAATATCGTCCGCATAATCTAGATCAACTAACCTTTCATCAGGCAGAACTTCAACGCCTACATCGTGAGATTCCGTCAGGGAACACTCCATGATAGAATCCACGACGAAATTGAACAAAAACGGGAAAATCGGACAACCCTGACGAACGCCACTTCTGGTCGGAAAACTATTCGATAGGACACCGTAGACCCTGATGCGGCCTGTAGTGTTCAAGTATACAGCATGAAGGATGTTCACATATTTCGTGGGAACACCTTTGCGCGCAAGTATTTCGAACAAGTATTTCGAACGATCGACTGAATCGAACGCACTTTTGAAATCGAGGAACACAGCTATTGTCGGTCTGCGGTATGCGTGGCGCTGCTCTAGCACCTGCCGCAAAGTGAATATATGGTCTATACAGCCACATCCTGGGCGGAAATCGGCCTGCTCTTCCGTAATGCGAGATTTCCGTTCCGCAGTGAGGCGCCGAACGATAATAGAGGCCAGTAATTTTGTCACAACTGGCGTTAGCCTAATACTCCTGTGGTTAGAACAGTTTGTGCGACTGCTTTTCTTGTATATTGCCACTATAATCGATTCGCTCCAATTAGCCGTGACACTTCTTTCCAGATACATTCGAATAAGGAGGTCAGTGCTTTGCAGAGGACCTCACCTCCATCCTTAAATAGTGCAGGTGGGAGGGAATCCCGGCCAGCGGCACGAAAAAGATTAAGGGCCGTGATCGCGATCGCCACAAGGTTAGGAGTGGTGGAGTGCGGTGGGCCGATGAAATGCAAGCGGAGGTCCCGGTGGAGGTCAAAGCTATGGAAAGCAAGTAGTGGATTTTTTTAGGCACAAGTACTCCAAGCATGCGCAAAAGTCCGCTGTGGCATCTGGAAGAGTGTCGGGACTGAAAAAGGATAATGTACAAGAAAAACACTTCAGTGCCCCCAAACTGTGTCAAAGAAACCCAAAGTAACAGGTGTGCATAAAGGATGTCTTAATGAACGAATCGGGCGAATGAACAGCTGGTTCAAAGCATCAGTGCAGTGCAAATTAGGTTGGCCGGCACCCCGATAGGTTGGAGGTGGGGACCACGTATGTTTTAAATACGTTGGGTCACAAAGTCTCAATAGGCATTCGCTGTTTCCGTTAATAAAAAAAAGGATGAACATGCGCACGCACTGAGCAACGCATGAGATGAGGGTGCAATGTAAAGTGAAAAGTCAATAACCGTGGCGGAACCAAATCAAGAACACGGTAGAGATTCATTGATGTGTCTTGGAGTACCCGCTGGGTGTACATGGATTGCGACAATCTCGATTGAGGCTACAGTTAGCTATATAACAAAACCAGGTCTTCTTGATCACTGAGACGGCTTCCGAAGTGGAGAGTTTCGGAGCAACAGTGTTGGGAGTAACTCTAAAACTCGTTACCATGGCAGATACTTGGTAAAAGGAATATGAGATAAGCGAAGGAATGGATTACTTCTGCGTCACAGAGAAAATTAAGATCAGTTGAGGTAAAAATGGTAACTGATGGACACGGAAATGAGTTGGGGAGCGACGAGTAAGGATGTAAAAGACATAAGGCCAAATTGTAAATGGGCTCACCGTCGTTGATCAGATGGAAGTTGTGTTTCTTACTCTCCTCTAAAAGTAAACGCATGAACAAGCGGACGGATTTCTCCCCTGCAAAGGAAATGGCAGAAAAGATTACGACATGTAATTGCAGTTACGCGGTGCGGAAGTAGACTATCCGCAAATGAAGGTGACAGTAAGGTGCCATGGTTCAAAAAAGTGGAAATAGGAAAGAAAAGGTGACAACGAGAACTGCATCACAGCGAACTGGCCGCATTCCATGGTGTCTCTGACGATGCGCGCTGAGAAATATGAAAGCTCAATTACCATAAATATTTCAAGCAGGAGCTTCGGGGTGTTCCGCCAAGATCAGACCTATGGCCAGATTCTAGCAAGATTTAAGTAAACCTTGATAGAGTTCAGAGTCGATATCGTCACAAACGAACAGAGGAACTTGGGATGGCGGAGTCAGTGTAAGGAGAACACCTGCGAGCCACTGAGGCACGTGTGTGTAGTCAACCGGCCAAATTCAGTAGCAGAAAATATTTCCGATGTAAGAACGTGTCGCTGAGCAGTTTTAGAACTGTACCCGCCGCATCTTGGCATTGAGAGTCAAAGTAAGACATCCAATGAACACCAGGTGCACAAACAAACTTGAGAACACGGTAACCGATAAGAACTACTCGAACAGTGATAAAAATTAATGCTTTTTGATTACATTGGTGTAGAGTTAGCATCCGCGCCAAAAGGTACTGTGGCTATAGACATGCGGTAAGAGGTTTCATCAACGAAGAACCGAATTCAGCACAGATTTGTAGATTGTTGCGTGTTTCACGAGAGGCATGAGATATGGAGCGCAATTTCTCATAGTGCTAATCAATCAGAAGCAAGACAAAGAGAGACAAGACAAGCATTAATCAGTGACGACAATATACGGAGATGAGAATCCAGTGCAGGTAAAGATTCACAAATGCAGTTATCAAGCGATCGAGTAAAAGATAAGGTGTGTCCAAGAAAATGATGGTTCGTTCTGGTTGAGGTTTAGTATATCGGCTATTCATCCCCCACTAAATTATAAAGAAAAAGACTACCCTCTTTGAAAGGGTTAATATGTTCGAGCTGGGCAATTTTGTTGCCGGCGTTGCATTGCCAAGCTAGGCAATATCCTCAGTGCGGCTATTAGGGTCTGATTCGCAGAGCCTCGTAAGCCACTGCCAAATCCAACTCAATATTGATCGGCTCCTGCTTTGAATGTCAGTCTTCGATTCGCTCAAGTGGGTCGATCAAGTGGTAGCGCCTTCGCCCTGTCGATCTGGTATTTATTGTTGTCGTCACCTGCAGAGCTTCGTAGACACCCTCTAGTTCCAAGTGTTTGTTGATTGAGTTCCGGCCCGAATGCCAGGCTTCGATGAAATCACGCGCACTGCGGTTCTTCGCTCTTCCAAGTATCTTGACGTTTCCCAGATCGAACTGATGGCCTTCGGCATCTATATGTACTGACATTTATATTCACAAGTCAGTGGAGGATGAAAATAAAGGAGTCGTCAGCTGTATGCCGTAACGGCACTCCGCTGTCGCGCAACCACCATCAGTCGCGTGTGGGCTGAGTGTACCGCGAGGACGCCCGCCCATACGCGGATTCGAACCGGTGGCCTTGACTGCAAGCCAGGAGTGTAGACTACTCGGGCCCCTGCCGAGATGAAGAGCCAAAACTACCTATATTTCTTGCTTGGGGGATAAAAACGGTTGTCATCTGCACGACGTCTAATCAACTAGAGAAAGTCCAGTGGATCACGTGGCACTCAACGGTAATGGGAATAGCCAGTATGATGCCAAAGTACAGGGGAGATCACAGAAGTTATTAGTGGGCTGTGAACAGCACCATGAACGTGTTTGCCTCCCCACCAGTGTTTGACCAAATAAAAGTTATCAGAGAAAGAGTTAAGACCGAAAATCGATTTGTATCAACCGGTCTTTAGGGAAACTGTCAAAGTTCAATGAAAAGATGAATGAAGTCAGCACGCTTGAGTTTTTGATCGGAAGTGAGTGAAACGTAACAAAACGGTTTGTAGTCCGGTACGGAGCATAAACAGCGTAAAACCATATGATAGATATACACTTGGGACAGGTCAGGTGCAGCTCAAAACGTGACATATTGACGCCAACTACGAAAAAATCGGTGGAAGAAAGCAACAGACCACAATCAGTGCACAAAAGTTGAAGGTGATCAACAGAAACGGAATTCAGTTCAGTGTAGTTAAACAACAATGATCAGAGCACTGAAGCGAAGTGGAACTAGTTGCCACGACTCTCGCTACCAGAATAACAACAACAAGAGTGAGAAAATGAAAGTGGACGTAAATAGAGTACAAAGAAAATAGGATCAAAAAGGAAGTGCGTTAAACTGATTGGGATAAAATGAAAACTAACAGCTAAGTGCAAAAAACTAAATGCAGGTACGCCACTGGTTGCGCGACTGTGCCATGCCTGATAGAGTCTGCAACCACTAATGTGAACAATTCCGGGGCTCCCGTCTACGAAGACGATATGCATCAGCGTGACCAAGTCCTTCAGTCAAATTATTCAAACTATTATGCCACATCATTGACTGAAAACCCCGAAATTTCGCCCAACTTGGTGCAACCACGGTGTATAATGCACGCCAGGCATAGGAAGGACATGACCCAGCCAAATAAGCGGTAGCACTGAAGCAAACACTCGAGTGAGACACCAGAAGGTTTTTTGCTAAAAACCAAATGGTGGACCTCAGCAATGCTCAGCTGGTGTTCTCATCAGGTGTGCGCAATACCGGTGGTCAAATAATTAATGTCTTCATTGCGAACTGGTCAGGTCTCCGGTCCATACAGTAAAACCGGCTTTACCGCCCGTCATACACCATACTCTTCCATGACAGCATGAAAGAAAGTGTGGTCAGAAGTTACCACAGCAACAATCTAAGCTCCAGAAAGGAACCAGATAGTCATTTCGTTCTACCGGGACCCATCAGTTACACACACACACAAACAACCACCCCCCGACGCCATCGGCTTAAACTACCAGGCAATGAGTGACGGAAGCGGACCGACATGATCGGTATGGGACTGCGATATAGCACGGCGCAGCCTCCTCTGTCGTAGGGAAAACCGTGGCTGTGGAGATCAAATTTGACCGTTACAAAGTTCGTCACTTGCAAGGCAACGCTTTGACACATGTCTGTGGTAGCAAGGCGTCTGGCTGAGAGCTGACTGCGGCAAATAAACTTCAGTCGCGGTGGAAAAGCATACACATATGCAATCATACTTTCTGTTAATCTTCCTTTTTCTTCGCAGGAGTCTTTGCAAACTCATTCAGTCATATACATTTCTCTTTTTCCTACTACTTTTACCGATGAAGGCCGAGACGAGGTGCAAACAGTGGCGTCTAAAGCTATCCTCTGCAAAACAACAGTGAGAGATGCCCGGGAGTGCGCTGAGACTTTAAAACATCAGCAGACAGCTCGAAGATGGTTGATGTGTACGTGAAATGGTAAACCTCAGATGATCAGTTGAATTTCACGCGTTCGCAGTAAACAGACAGAATACTGGGAGTCGGTGGGAAGAAAGGCGAGTCTACTATTCAGAGATTCGGAAGTTGCAACATATTACATGCCTAGGAAGCGCAAAGCTAGTGGAAAGACCATGGTTGAACTGATGAGAAAAAATACGCGTTCAAGGGGTGTCGTAAGGCGAGAACGAGAATTGCTTAATGCATCCTGTACATTTACTGATGAGTCGCAAGAGGGCTATGATATATATAGTTATCGGCAACCGATTCCGGGTTTTCCTGTCACTGTGGCCTCCATAGGACAGCAAAAGGACGCCGGCGCCTACAGAGGGACCATGGGTGGCTTGCGCTGCACCACCCACAGCTCCATCCACACACCTTATACCCAGTGCAAACCCGAAAGAATCAGATAGAGAGGGTTGTGGATGGGAGCTACGTTTCATTAACGGAGCCCGCCCGAACTCGCTCAACATGCACAATACCAGTACTCCTGTCTGTCTAGGTGGGGAATCATGCGTACCAGACGTACACAAGGTGGTCACTGGGTCACAACTCGTCCAAAACTAGATGGAATCACAAATTGAGTAAAGCACGATCACGAGGACCGTGCACCCCAACCCCCAGCATTGTTTCAAAGTCTCTTGGAACCAATATAGACAATGGGGAGCGTAATAGACAACTAAGCACATCAAGCGCAGCCACCCCAGGGATGTCAAACAACAGCCAGGGAACATGAAAGAAAATAAGCACGAAAAATGGACAGTAAATGTGCGACAAAATAACTGAACAGAGCACAACGATAAATGGGTATTAATTATGATCTAGCACAGGGGTGCTCTAGGCAAATGTAAGTTTATGTCAGGGGACAACAACCATTTAGAAAGGAAAGCAAAGGAAAGGCGCGCTAAATAAACAAGAAATGTGCGGACAATCAACAGAAAGGAACATATGCGAAAAACTGAATCAGTCAGATCTAGCGTACTGAGTAGCAAGTGCAGGTGTAAACCGCCATAGCCCAACAGCTAGAATGAAACACAGTAAATGCAACATCGACCTCAGCACACACACATATATATATATATATATATATATATATATATATATATATATATTCCGGTCGGCGGGAGAGCCTATGGTGCGCTGAGGCTGGTGGTGGCTAGATCCTGACAGATGGTCTACCCACTGCTGCTACTGCTGCGCCTTAGTCTCATGTCCTGGGCGCCTCCTCGTGGCGACCGCTGGGTGGGAGTTAGGTTTCGCCCTTCTCCCTGCTAAGATCCAGGACACCAATCCGCATGAGTCAGCTAACTGACCATGTGCTAGACCCGCTGCCTTTCGGGTGTTCATTTAATCGAAGGCTTTGGCTGAGGACCCGAGTCGTTCTCCTGTCAGGTTTGGGCGCCCTGGCAGTATCCTAGTCCATCCTCTCCGGAGGTTAGGAAGTGGTCGATGGCCCACTTCCCGTAAAACCTAGCCATGGGAGACAACAGGTTACGGGTGATATTCTCAATGCTCGATTGGCGTAGAGCACGAGTGCCACGCATTGTCTCTGACGGTGGGAGGACACC